AGTACTGCATGACAGAGTTGTAGTCGTAGGGGGTGCCCTGGTTCAGAGTGGCAATCTTGTTGAAGTTGTGCTCCATGCCTAAAATAAACCACAAGAACAACATTACTTAACGTTAAAGTAACGTTTGTGTGGTTTGAATTCACACTGACTGTGGACAGGAAGGAGTCGTGCTGCTGGAGACAGAGCATTTCAATGCCTTTAGGACGTTATAGGAACTGTAGAAACCCTGGGTTAATACAATCTAAAACAGAAGAAAACATCACATTTCCAAATGTGTGAGGCCAAAAACAGCCTTTGTTCTTTACAATGAATACATTATAAATGAGTTGGTGATTATGGTCCCTTGAACTGTGTTCCTTTGTGTCCATTAGGAGGCACCAGGGCCTGTTACTGACTCTCCTCTCTAACATCTTCCATCATTTTGAATAACAAACCGCTCCATTACCAGACACGACGTTCTGCAGCAGGACTCTGATGTGCTTGTCTCTGTCGGAGCGGGTCTGCTCGTGGTTGAAGCCCAGAGCGTGGAGCAGCTCGTGCTGGACGGTGTTGTGGTAAAGACATCCGCTGCGGGCCAGAGACACCACCTGCTTTCCACCACGACGGCCGACGTAGGACCAGCAGCTGGACAGAGTGAGAGTTGAGTTAGAGCATGCAGAGGCGTGAGGAAAGCTTTGCTCTCAAACTCTACCACATTATCATTTTCGCACCCATTCTGGGACTCGATCTGCAGCCCTTCGTGGTCGTTGCTATGGGAGGGTCTGAAGCGGATGCAGGAGAAAGAGGAGAAGGACTCCAGTCCACGGGTGATGATGGCCTTCTCGCGGGAGGCTGGGAGGAGCATAGCACATATAATGCAGGTATCATTCAACAGACATTATGAGGAACATTATGTGTGTTTTAGATCACAAAATATGGAAACATTTTCTAGTAGAAACCCAAATCTTATAATGAACCTGACATCGGCACAATATGTTCCCTTTAATTGAGCTGTTTATTGAGAGTTGATCAGCATTAGTAGTGACTCCAGTTGAAATGAGAGGAGTGTGTGATAGCTGTGCGACACTTACAGAATTGGTTGGTGATGTAATAAGGAACGTAGACCTTTCCATCACTGTTCTTTAACCACTTGCAGCCACGGCTGGTGCAGGGGTCGGCGTTTCTCTCTGCCTCGTTGTCGATGGCGATGTCCAGCTCAGTCAGGATGGGCCCATTGTCGGAGCGAACTGAAACACATCACAGCGCAGCTCAAACTCCTGCTGAGGAGATACTGATGGAAGAGGAGCATGGAGGTGCAGCAGCTCACACTCACCCAGATTTGTGTTGGCCCTCTCCAGAATTTCAGACACAGAAAGCCCGTCTGATTCCTTCTCTGCAGAGAGACATCAACAACACACATGTATTTAGTGTAAAACACAGCAGCACAAACTGAGCATGTAAAGACTTGAGGTCTGATCTTCAGAACAGATACATACCGGCCTGCAGGTTCAGCGTGGGGTGAGAGAAAGACAAACTCATTAGAAACAGAGAGAACCACATGAGCTTCTAGTTACAGCTAAAGGTACTGTAGCAGTCATTTATGTATCACAAATCAAATTCTATGTTTTGAGACATGAAAATACAGACAAACACGTGTTTTTTGATGCACTGGACATTTTAAAATGTTGAACCTAACCCTCACCCCAGCCCTAACCCCTCTTTTGCTTTTTGAGTCTAATAGACAGAAAAACATGGTGTAATATACACAATGCCTTAATTACGTTTTTCAACACAACATTTCAGAAAACTTGTGCTTTTCTAAAATAATATATCTAATATGAAAATGTGTCTTAATATAATTGTTCAACTGGGTATATTTGTTGAAAGTATATATTAGTTAAAATGCTCAAACTCAAAGAATCTTTACAGAAAGAAATGGAGAACATTCTTAAAAAGTCAGCAAAGGTGTAAATACATGCTAAATATAAATACATGCATTTGTTACTTTTAAAAGTGTTGTTAAACATGACAAAGAGTGAGCAGATATCACCTGCCATTGCTCCTACCTCAGTGTCGGCCCAGCAGCAGGCAGACAGCAGCAGCAGAGCGAGAGCGGAGAACCTGAAGACAGACATCCTGCAGGACACACACAGCTTCACTCAGAGCACTCACACAGGAATACACACTGAAGCAAAGTGCACCCTGAACTCACCTTGGATCCTCGGGGTGGATTGGTGCAGAGGAGCTCTCTCTCCAGCTTTTTATCTACGCTCAACTGTCTTTGTGTGCCCAAATATGGACAATCAGGGTTCTAAGAAAGTCAAAGAATTAGCTGAACTCACAGCCTTATCTGACACTGTGGGAAAAGGGACACATGTTGCCATCATACCGTACAACACACTGAAAACACTTTGATGTGTTCTTTTCATTTGTATGTATTCATAACTGCAACGTGTGATGAGTGCACTTACTGTATTATATTATAGCAGAAATTGTATATATGTACTTTGATCAACTAAAATGGAACTGCAATGGAATGCAGAGGTTTTCTAGCTCACCCTTTATTAAGGCATACATTAACTATTGTGCTTATTAGCGTCCATATGAGTAGCATGTCGGCTCTCTATTCGTCTTATTAAAGCACCCAAAGACGCCTTATCAAAGATAGTTGGTCCACCTGTCAGAGACTCTATGACTCAGTCTATCATAACAACCTAGTGAGGCTGTCCAACAACATCATCTCTGACCCAAAGCATGCTCTGAACAGTGAGTATGAACTGCTACCATCTAATCGGAGATACAGGGTCCCACCATTCAATAAAGTCAGCCTGAAGCATCCTTTGTGCATCAGTCAACCTCTCAGTGAACACAGAGATGATCCCAGATCAGATGCACGCTGAAGGCTCTTTGAGCAGCTTTTCTCTCACTGATTGTGCTGTTATGTTAAATGTTTGTGTTTCATGTATTGTGTCTGGATACTTGTCTGTTGGTGTTGGACATGGAGCTGCTGGGACGCAAGTCACATTTCAGACTTGATCAGACAAATAAAGTATTATCGTATCGTGTTATCCTGCATGACCTTATTGTGCGGCCCCAAATGAAGAGTTCACATTCCTATGGATGGATAGTGTAACTTGGTTTATAGTTCCTGCATTAGGAACTTAAGATGCTTGGCTCTCATTAGTACCACAAGAATGGTCACACTCCCTTAATAACGCTTACAAAATGTGATTTATTCTTATATGAAAAAACAGGTGTGAAAGTTACATAAAGGTGGCCTGGCTCATATCACTAGTGGTGTGAAACTGCTTCAGCCGTTAACTCGGCCAGGACTTGGCTGGTATTACTGATCAGATCAAAGTCAAATATAATGTATATAAATACATGTAAAAAGAGTATTTAATAATGGTGTTGTTTCTTATTTGTGTTCAACCTACTGTACTGTGAAATGTGGCTTGTTCCCACAGGTGAGGTGTGTGTGTGTTGTGTGTGTGTGTGTGTGTGTGTGTGTGTGTGTGTGTGTGTGTGTGTGTGTGTGTGTGTGTGTGTGTGTGTGTGTGTGTGTGTGTGTGTGGCACTCAGACTGGAACATAAGTGTTTATCCCAGAGTTTGATCAGCTGCGTGTTTCTCCTGTTCACGAAGGCCAAATGGAAAGTGACAGACGGACATGTGATTAAGGTTTGTGAACAAACGTGTGTATTCATTATTTGCATTTAATCAAGCTCATAAGCAGTCATTTATCTAAGTGAACATTTGTGATTTCTTAGTGAGACAGCACACAAGCTAATGTCATCTGAATTCAAGCACATTCATTCAACACCAGATGCATCTTGGTTTTGCTTGTAGATAATAAGCTGCATGAATTTGTCTGAATTCCTCTTGAATTCCTGTTGGAGAAAATATGCCCATTCATGGATCCACATACAAGTACATTCATGTGTTCTGTATCTGTCACTATCCTAAAAGCAAACCCAGACAAACTCAAATATATGAAAACAAATCGATCATCCATCTAGCAAGCTAGCCCCGAGTGAATTTATTAAAAAAACAAAAAAAAAAGTCAACGTTGAAGTAATGGAGACATTAATAAAACAATGAAGTCAATAATGTCACTAAAATGGGCCATAGGGCAACATTATTCACTTTTCTATTGGTTCTATCTTGATGCAAATGCTTCTGTACTTTCTGAGTTACATTTGGATGCGTGGTCTTACTTTTTCACCACAGTTAAAGATCTGACTACTTTGTTCACCCCTGGTTCATAGCAAGTTTGAAAAAACATGAAAACGTAGCTTCATTTATCCAAACGTTTTTTCTTCGCACCGGTTTCAGGTGAGGTCTGGATGCAGTGGAATCTGACAACAAGATAGTAAACCTGTCAAAACTGCTTGATACTTGTTATGGTTGTTATTGACCGGCTCGTAGGCCACAACGAAAAGATAACGAGACGAACACGAGTTTCCAAAAGCCACGGCACATTTATTGCGGTTGTTCCATATAATGCAAAAGATGGATGGACGAGGAGAGGATCGCTGTGTTACGGCCCGTCTACACTACAGGCGTCAAAAAATGCTTTCAACGCTTCGCCCATTCATTTGAATGGGGTGACGTAGGTTATTTTCAAACTTTGCCGAACTGCATTGTGGGTAGCATGGCAAGGCGTTGCAAGCATCGCGAGCGTCTATCGGCGTCAAAAGTTGAACAATGTTCAACTTTTGAGGCTCGATGCTTGCTCGAAGCTGGCGTCAGCCAATCAAATCCCGTTTATGCAAATCCCGCCAGTACAAGCGCTAGCCAATCAAACCGCGTGCAAGCTGGGAGAGCCAGACCGCAGTTCATTTCCTCATATTCCAAACGAGAAATTACGGTAGCAAATCACCCGGTTCTTTACGACCAGAACTATTAACGGGATACAAACCGGAGGAACCAGGCATGGAGGGAGGAGGCAGAGACAGTGGGTGAAACTGGTAGGTTTTCGCCTGTTTGGGGATTTTATATCCAGTTTACTTCGTTTTAACATTGCTATTGCTTTGTATGTCGGGGGCGGGAGATTCATGTGATTGGTTGTTGGTCGCGTTGCTCGCAAAAAATCGCCAAGCCTCAGACACGCCCACCTTCAAGCTTTTTTGACACCTGTAGTGTAGACGGGCATGGTACTGCTCCATTTTACATAAACGTACAGTAGCTATATGTGACCTGCTCCATCGAAATCAGTCGCATTGACCCGAAGACACATTTTGAGTTGTATACACTGTTGGAAAGAGGATATTCCTAGCTCTCTAATGATATCAGGATTGATGTTGTACTCCAAATATTAAGCAAAATATGTCACATTATATAATGACTGTCACCGAGTCATCATTTTGAGAAAAAGGCCTTCAAAGTTTCCTCTTCTCTGGATCGATCTGATTATTAGCAAATGATCAAAGTAGTACGGAGGGAAGATATTTTCGTTTGGATTACTGGTCTGGGGGAAACTCGCGAGTGTGTGTGTGTATTTTTGCGTTTGTGAGGGAAAACACTCACGAGAAACACCGGCTGTTGTTACGCCTGCTGTGACGTTACGTTACTCCGTTCTCCGCTTGTATTTATGCCGAAGCTTCAAAGTTGTATTTATCATCTGAATTTGCCGAAACAAGTTTAATATTCTGAAAGCTAAGACTTTGTTTATTTGAAACCAGATGAAAACAAACTGTCATAGACCCTGCCGTGTTAGCTGTAGTGTGATTACTGAATTGATAACAGTAACGCGTTACATTACTCTGTTACCGACAAATGTAATATTATTACACCCAACTCTGGAAACGTAAGATGCATTTTGACAGACAAGACGGACAATTGGGGGGAAATATCCTGCATTTTGAAGACCAGCCAGAGACATAGTTGACACTCGTCAACGAAAACTAAATGTACATTTCGTCATAGTTTTTATTATCAAGAATCTATTTTTAGCTCGTCATCGTCTTGTAAAAAAGGTCGTTGACGAACATTTTTCTTCATAGTTTTCGTTGATGAAATTAACACTGACACACACACACACACACACACACACACACACACACACACACACACACACACACACACACACACACACACACACACACACACACACACACACACACACACACACACACACACACACACACACACACTCTTTCCCAGGGTTCCTTTAAAGACGTAATATGTTAGTTACATGTACAAAAAAAATGTAAAGTAATCTGAGAAATAAAAGTCACTTGATTACTTTCTGTCACTTTGGATTACCTCGGTCTCAAATGCAAATACAGAAGAGAACAGAACTAAGGCCCTTTCTCATTTCTCTAATTCCCCTCCTCGACTCCTATCCTCGTGTCTTAGTCCCACCCACAGGAGATGCGAGCGGAGGAGTCGAGGAGGCGAACCGAGGAGAGAGGAGGGGAAGCAGCAGGCGGTTAGAGAAATTAGGGCCCTCTCAAGGCCCAAACTCAAGGCCCGGGGGCCAAATCCGGCCCGTGACTTCATTTTCTGTGGCCCGCAAGAGCTTGCAAAGAATATAATATGTTTATTATACGGTTAAATGCCGATTTACAGAAGCACGTTGCCCATAAACTACATGTCCCACAATGCATCTCAAATTTAAAAAAAATTCAGAATTTGACTGTTTTTCCTTCAAAATATCCCTTTTTTCTCAGAATTTGACTTTTTCTCAAAATGTCACTTTGTTTTCCAGAATTTCGCTTTTCTTTTTAAATCATTTTGTGACATTCTCACCGAAAAGACTTGCAATTATTTGCCATAGACTTCTGCTTTCAGACGTAGTTAATTATGAAGTTATTACCCTATCCGATAATAATCCAATGCAGAGGCAATAATGTAATATCATTTTATATATATTAAATATTTATATACCGTAATTTTCGGACTATAAACCGCGGTTTATATAACGGTGCGGCTAATCTATGGATTTTTACAGCTAACGGCCACTAGGGGACCTCCTAAATCTATGGATTTTACAGGTTACAGTCCACCACCTTTAACTCTATGGGCTCTATGGCCGGTCCGCGCCCCCCACCTTTAAGCGGCGGGCTCCAGCAGGAAAAGCTGGAGGCCGGAAAAGAGTGAGACAGGTAGCGCGCAAAAGTAAAAGTGGAACCGAGAGTGGTACGAGAGACAGAACGAGAGCAAGACAGACAGACATTACGAGAGCGAGACAGTTTGTGCAAAGGAAGTTTTCATGCACA